CCTCTTCCTGTCACTCTTTCTCCACACGCCACACACACACACACACACACACACACACACACACACACACACACACACACACACACACACACACACACACACACACACACCTGGAAGTGCAATCCAAGTGCACAGAAGTTAACTGAACAGCACTAAAGTCTACTGAAATCTATTGATTTTCTGAAAGTTTCTTTAATTTAGCAAAGCTTTCTTCTTTTTATGAAGAATCTGAATAGAAGAAAAGTAAACACACATCAGCGGAGAGCAGCTCAGATTGCCATTTATCAAAAACTAATAGGAGAGGGCAGCTGGAGAAGAATTAAAGCCAACTGCAGCACTATAACACTTGTTAGCAAACCTTCCCTCCCTCCATTTCAAGCAGTGATTCTCAAATTTAGGGGCTTCAGATCATCTTGGATTACCAGATCAAAAAATTAAGAAAAGTAAACACACATCAGCGGAGAGCAGCTCAGATTGCCATTTATCAAAAACTAATAGGAGAGGGCAGCTGGAGAAGAATTAAAGCCAACTGCAGCACTATAACACTTGTTAGCAAACCTTCCCTCCCTCCATTTCAAGCAGTGATTCTCAAATTTAGGGGCTTCAGATCATCTTGGATTACCAGATCAAAAAATTATGACCATTGGCTGATTTGGCTATGGCTTCTTGGAGTTGTAATCCGAGAGGCCCTAAATTTGGGAGCCATTGGTCTTGAGGTTTGTACTGGAGTACCCCAAAAGGTTTTGAAATTAGGCCACTTCTGTCTGCACAAAATAGCTTATAGCAACAAGAGTAACAATAATATTGGGACTGCAGAGCTGGAAGGGACCCTATAGATCATCAAGCCCCTGTCAGGGAGGCCAAGAGGGGAACTGAATTCCCAACCTTTGGCTCTGCAGCCAGAGACCTAAACTACTCAACTATCCAGAAGTTACTGGTTCTGGATGATACTGGAAAAATAACTGTTTTGGACTATAAAATTCCTGTGGCCACTGACCATACTGCCTGCAGGTGTCTGGGAGTGTTTAATCCTGAAAAGTAATTTTTCTAAGTATTGTTGTTACACAGACCTAAGATTGTCCCTCACCCTTTGGTTATGAGGAGCACTCCTAGCGATAATTACTGGGAAGGATGCCTGGCTACCTGTTTCCATCCCAGTTGCACACATTAAGGCCGGTGGGAGAATGGTTACCTGAAGGAAACGGTACCGACGTCACTTGCGGAGGTACAAGGACGCACAGCAGGGCGATGCTACATAGAGAAAGCATAGTGGAAAGAGTCTGTTTAGTTCTTCTCATGGAGGGAAGGGCCACCCCAGGAATTTTGCTGTCTGAAGCATAGCAGCAAATGGCACCTCATCCCTTCACTACATGGAGCAGGAAATCCATAAACACCTCCCTTCCATGCTTGGAAATAAAAATACTAGAGAAACTGGGTAAACAACTATATGCACTTACAATATTAAAAAAATGTGTCTCTCCTTGTCCTGGTTTGAGCAACCTAAGACAGAGTCACTTTCTGTAGCAGGTCTTTTTTTAAAAAAAGCATTCCACCCTAAATCTAACAAACCCTTGAGAATTTATACCTGCATCTCTGCAAGAACTGTTATTTAAGGCACTGTCATTAGCAAAGGCCTTGTGCTGGAGACAATAAACGCCAAGCCCTTCCAATCCCATGGATACTTCCTCAGAAGCAAATCCCATTAATTCTAATCAGGCTTACTTTTGAGTAAGCACACACCTGGGAGGTTGGAGGCCACCTCCTCACAAGAAGTGCACTTCATCAATAGAGTTCTGCTGGTACTAACCAGAGGTTTATCTAGGGCAGAGCCTGTTGCTATACATGACACAACCCTTCCCCAAGCACTCCCATTCCACTACAATTCCCATCCTCTCTAGCAGAACTGTCTGGGAGATGATAGGAGCTGTACCTCAGGACATCTAGAGAGGTAAGGCTCATAAAACTTCGGCCACACTTCAAGCTTTGTGCTTAGAAGGCTGCCAAGAAGGAGCCTGAGTAGGCTGAAAATTCAGCAGATTCCACAAATTCAGGGAATTCTAAGAGATGGATGGGTTCTCAGTGGTCATCTAGTCTCACCCCATCACAAATGCAGGAAATCTACACCTAAAATGTCCCCAACAGACAGTCGTCCTTTCATCAAACCTTTACTCTTGGCTTCTCCTGCTCCATACCTCAGAGATGGGGAACATCAAGCCATCCATTTAGAGACTTCGTGAGCAATTCTATCTGGAACGGAGAGAAGCTGAAATCTAAAACATCTAGAAAGCTTGTGCAGTACATTGGCTGAAGTCTTGGACTGAGACTTGGGAGATCCAGATCCTCACTAAATTGTAAAACACACCGAATGACCAAGGGCTGCTGCTTTGTCCAAAATATCCAAAATAAGACCAACATTACAGGGTTCTAATGAGGAGCAAAACCATGTACACCACCTTGAACTCACTGGAGGAAAAGCAAGATAATAATGCAACTAACAAATAAGTAAAAACCAAAAAATACTCATGGGCTGAACCAAATAAGTGCCTTCATTAGGGTTAATTAGCAGATTTTGCCTGCCTGTGGATTTTATCTTGCTCTTATGGACTCACCCAGTTACCTTTGTTTCTATATTTGCTAAGAACCAAAGGTTCTTTCCCCATGACATGGTTCAACCCCTGAAAGGTTTTTTTGTTGCACTTTTATAAAGCCACACATCCAGCTTTTCTAATTAAAAAAAAAATCTGTTTCAAACCCAATAATTTTTGTATTTAGGGCAAAGGGAGGTGATGAGCCAAGAAACTTACCCTGTAAAGATGAGGGAACACATTCCAGGAACAGTAGGTCTGCTTTTCCTCCAAAGAAGACTCCGCTCATCTGACTAAATTAAGGCCCCAGAAACAACTTCTTTCTTCAGGAAGACAGGCACGGGTTTTATATCTGCTGTTGTTTCGATACAGCTGTCACCTGCTCCCACTCAGTCCATCAGAGGAAAACCTCAGGTTGGTTGGGGAACGTTGTTGGTTTGCCTGAGTTTAATTTTCAGGTCAACTGATCAGAATCCAAGGAAATCTGAACCCAAGAAAAACATTCTGCCTTCTTTACACCCCATCTATTCTCTGTTTTTGAGGTCTTATCTGGTGTGGTAATCAAGTTTCCATGAAACAAAGAACTCATCTGCAGTTCATTCCTTATCCTTTGTGTTTTACCAGGCAGAAATTCTGCAGGTCAAGCTTTCTCCTGCATCTGTAAGATACTGTGCCAGGAGATGTCTGTCTTATTATCTTTAACAGCATGGGAGTCTGCTAAGAAAAAAAAGTTGGCAACACTGGTCATAATCTCAATTTTGAGCAAAAAAGTTGGAATGTGGAGGATGTTTCTATGTGCTGTCCAGTTGGAACCGGCTTGTAGTGACCCTAACAGAGGTTTCAAGGTAAGTGAGATCTTTGAGTGCTTTTACCTGTTCCAACCCTCCCGGGAGTTTCCATGGCAGAGCAGGGATTCAAATCCAGGTCTCTGGAGTGCTAGCCCATCATTTTATTCCCTAAACCACATTGTGCTGCAGAGGATGGAGGGGAGCAAATTTGAGCCAGATCTAAGGTTGAAAGAAGTAGGAAAAGAGGAAGATCAAATATGAAATGGACCAATTTCATAAAGGAAACCACAGGCCATAGTTTACAAGAGCTGAGTAGGGCTGTTGGGGGTGGGTCTTTTCAAAAATTGCTCATTGATATGGCAGCCATATGTCAGAATGTGATGTCAAGGAACATAACAACAGCCCCAGAAGCTATTTTTCCTGCCAGAGCAGAGTCTTAACATATGGTGATATAATAGTTCTACATGTCTAAAAAAAGGCCTTCCCACAGAAGAGGTATGTCATGTCTCCTCTGATACTTGGCTACTGTAATTCCCAGCAATCCTAAAAACATACTCAATATTGAGAAATTATGTTATGCTTATACCCCATCTTTCTTCAAGGTAGCTCAAAGTAGAATAGTGTACAGTATATATTTTTCCTCCTTCCCACCTTATCCTCACACCAGGGATACAGAAAGAGTATGTATGATTCCCATGCAGGCCTGATGTCTGTTGTTTATTTCCTTGCAAATTGAAATGGGTCAAATCAAACATGAGCGGAGGTGGAGAGGAGCATCATATGTGCAAAGGTGGTTCTGGTGCCACCTGTCAGAATATCTGTGACTGTTGAGTTCAGCAGCCAGATATTCAACAGGTGTGGGTGTCTCCATTGCCTTGATGAGGGAACCAAACCAAGCCTCCAGCTGACTTTTTAAGAATGTTGCTGTGTTGCAGTGCTTTTCAACTACTGGTCCTCCATATTTACAAGCTGTTTTGGAACACAATACACAGAATTTGTGTGTGTGCGTGTGAACTCCAGAATTATGCAATATTACTTGAAAAGCTAACTTCAGATTAAAAATAACGGCTAAAACCACACAGACAAGTATTTCCATGAAGCGAGCACATGAACGAATACATATGTCTGAAGAAATGGCTGAGGAATCCAGTTAGAATTCTGGAACATAAAATTATGGAACTACGACTCTGTTTAAATGAATTTTTTTTCATTTCCGTTGTACATTTTTATTCAAGTAAATGGTTTTAAAAGAAACAAATTTCCGTCGTACATTTTTATTCAAGTAAATGGTTTTAAAAGAAACAAAGAAAATAGACCCATGGTGACTGAAAAACATTATACATTAAAGTATTTAGGCTTTTGAGTCACACAGAACTCTCCACTACTCCGGCCTGAGTAAACGCCTCTTTCGTTTGGTAGTAGGGGTTTTTCCCACTAGGTTTCAGATAGTCACCTGATAAAGGCGGGCCTTGAAATAAATTTCTAACGCCATTGGCTCATACTGAGCATCTTTGGCTACAATGCCTTGTTCCATTGGATGAGATCTGTGTCGATCAATGAGTTTTCTCGGCCATCGCGAGCGGTTGCTATGGTGCCGATGAGCGGTAAGAACAGCTACAGTCCAGTTCCTGATTGGTTGTTGTTGTTTAGTCGTTAAGTGGCGTCCGGCTCTTCCTGATTGGTGGGCGTGCCTTATGACGCCTCCTGGTCCCGGAAGGTGGGCGGGGCCTGGGTTCCAGGGGGGGGCGATTTAAAGGGGAAGCGTCTGCCTTTTCTACTCAGGTTGCCGTGAACCAAAAGGTGAGTCTTGAAATGGTGGCCCGAGAGACCTTTGGGCAGGTCGTAGCCCATCAGGACAATTAATGGGGCGCCTGAAAAAAAAAAACTTCCAAAAGGGCCAACTGCGCAGCCGCAAACTCAGACGAAGAGTTCTGTGGTGCTGTGTAGGCTAACACACTTGGTGTCCCGGGAAAACTTCCGTGGACCGTAAGGGCCCCCTTTTTCAGGTGCAGAAAGCGATGCACGGAATGCGAAGTGTGTGGATACGCACGACACGTGGTGTGAGATCCGGGCCAGGGGATTCCACGCAATGTCTTTGTGTGGATCCTGGACGTTGTCACCTGAAATGTAAATTTTCTGAGCTCTGGGTCAGACTGGCGGAACATCTAATCTTGGGAGCTAATCTGGTACTGTTAGGGAACAAGAAAAAAAAGGTGATCTGGTTTGCCTTGCTTCTCCTATGAGTCAGCTTTAGAGAAATTGAATTTCTGGAGATTTTGTTAAACTATACTGCCATTTAAAACCTTGGATAGATCCTATGATCTGTGGATTTGTCTACTGTCGCCTTATACCAGTGGTGACCAACTGTCCCATACAGGTACGGTGTAGAATGACAGGCTACGACTCGGGTGTTCTGGGTTCAAATCCCCATTCAGTGCTGGAAAGCCAGTGGATGATGAACCACCCACCTTGAACATCTCCCACACCTTGAAAACCCTGTTCTGGTTGCCAGAAATTGGAAGCTACTTGGCCACAAAAAAACTAACTCTACTATATTTTGTGGTGCTGAATACAGTATCACACAAACCATTCCTCTTTCAGCAAAAAAAGAGGCATCCAGAGTAGCTTAGAGAAATTAAGAATAATTGCTGAGTCCCTGTTTTGAGGCTTGCAGTCTAAAAAGATGGCATAAAAGGAAAAAAATGGGGAGAGATGAGGAAAAAGCCAACTCTGTTACTGTGTTCTGCGCTGAATACAATACAGTATCACACAAACCATTCCTCTTTCAGCAAAAAAAGAGGCATCCAGAGTAGCTTAGAGAAATTAAGAATAATTGCTGAGTCCCTGTTTTGAGGCTTGCAGTCTAAAAAGATGGCATAAAAGGAAAAAAATGGGGAGAGATGAGGAAAAAGCCAACTCTGTTACTGTGTTCTAATTATAGGACATTAAAAGATTTAAGAATATAGGATATTGCCTTATGGCGAATTAGATCATGGATTTATCCAGTTTTGTACAGTCTACACAGGGGAGTAGGTAAGAATCTTTTAACACATTGTGAGTATGTTTGTTTAGGATCTGCAAATGCAAAATAATGGTTGTGCAGGAGCATCATGTATTGGGAATAAAGAAAGGAAGGACCGCTGACTACATACATGGTCGTGCTCAAGAATTTATTTTCCAGTCCAGAAGTCCCATTGTTTAAAAAAAAGGATGAAGAAGGGGATTCAAATGAGTCAGAGGCCTCAGGCAGCAAATTTCATGCCTCATGAAAAATCCGCAAAAAAATTTAGTTAGATTTAGGTCTTCTCAATTTCCTTTCTGTTGAAAAGAGGTGGCTGAATCCCAAGCCTATTTTTCCAGTACTAGGCCTTTTGCTTGATAACGGGATCAAATAAAAACACCTCAGAGCACGAAAAAAATGTGTTCCCCTTCACTGTTGCTTCATACAATTACTTTGTTTTGCTGTTAAAACCCAACCACCATCCTGAGACCCCCGAAGGCTTCCGCAGAACCTGAAATGAGGGATGGGATGGAGATTGGGAGCTTTTACTTACTTTAAATTAAATGCTTTTAGTGCCTGATTCAGGTGGTGCCTCACAAAGTTAAGCCAACAGGATTTTGCCCCTCGTTTCCAAGCCATAAGGCCAACACTCTTTTATTTAAGAGAGACGAGGTGGCTAGAAAAGCAGGCCTCAAATGATCCAAAGGGTTGGAGTGCCTTCTGCCTGAGGACAGGAGAAGGTCTGTCCAAGGTTTGGTGTACCTTCTACTTTACTCTTAAGGAATTCAATGATGCTTTTGCTTGTCCTCACCCCCATCCAGGCTTCCTGCTCTGGATCAATCCCTCTTCTGTGTTAACACGTCCCATGCTTTCTGCACCCTTCATGTGCGCTTGTTTGTTTTCCTTGCAGACGAGCGCCATGGATGGTGAGGTTTATCAGCACCAACAACAGCACCAGCTTTTTGGAGGAGCATTTTCTGCCTTCCTCCCACCGGGAAGCCTCGATGTCAGGTAAAAAACACAACGACAACGCTTGCTGAATCGGCGGAAACAGCAACCGGTCAGATATTGTGTTCTCAAAGGCGGCTATCAGAGGCCTCTGGGAAGCCCAAGAGAAGCATATACCCTTCGCCAGAAATTCATACAAATGGACACACTGTCTTTTGTGCTGTGTCAAATGTGCATCTTTCCAGCTCACCCTGAGTCATCAGTGTGATGCAGCAGCAAAAAAAGCTAATGCAATTCCAGGCCACATCAACAGATCATAGCACCACTCTATCCAGGTTTGACCAGACCTTGCCTGGAGCACTGAGCACCCCACTTGGGGAAAAAAAAGGGTATCCGGAAGCTAGACAGCAATATCTCTAGAGGATATTTACATAAGATAATCAAGGTCTAGACGCCATATCCTGTGAGGAGCAGCTTGGAGAACTGGGTGTGTTTCAACCAGAGGGAAAAAAATACCTGAGAACCACCTTCAGATCCTTGAAGAGCTGTCCCATATAGAGCATGCTTTTTTTTCTGCTCTAGATTATCGGACTGGAACCATTGAGTTCAAATGTCGAAAAAGGTCATTCCAACTTAGAGCTGTTCAGTTATGGGGAGAACTGCTTCCAAAGGTGGTGGGCTTACCTCAGGCAGAGGCTTGTAAACCAAGTCTGGATGTGCGTCTGTGAGAAGAGATTTAGATGCAGAATCGTCCGTCAGCAGGGGGTGGATTGCATGATCTTTTAGGATCCCTTCCTGCTCCCAAATTCGGTTGTTCCGACCAGTATCCATAATTTGTCTTGTGCCCTGTGAATCTGTCCAGTGACACCTTCTGTGGTATTTTATACTGTTTTCTCTAAACAATTTAATAAATGGCCATGTTCAGTTTTGTAGCTTTCCGTTCTCTGAGGGTGGCCATTTCACTGTGCCTTTACGTTGGAGGGGGGGTGTCTTATACTATCCCCCAGGGGTTTTTTGGGGGGGGTGCGCTCTGTGTACAGTCACAAGTGCCACCCTGCTCCCATAGGCACACACTTCCAGAGTTCATGGTTCCTTTCCACCCGCCTCTTTTTCCCTTACAGTGAGATGCGCCAGGTCCCGGACAACCAAGAAGTCTTTGCTCATCCCAACACAGACCAGAGCGTCATCGTAGAACTGCTGGAGTATCAGGCGGGTGTGCCGGATGAGAATGCTGCCAAGTATGTGGGAGGAGTTGCAGTTCTTTCTCTCCTAGACAGCTCGGTGCCGGACCTCAAAGCTTTCCTTTTCCCTCCCCTTCCCTTATTCCTTGTGTGCTGTAACTTAAATTTAGCCTAAAAGTTCTGAAAGCTGGGTCTGCCATGCTGGATCTCTTCTGGAGTGGGGTATTATTGTTATTATTGTGGTTTTGACTTCTATCCTGCCTCATAGTGCTAGAGCACTCTCTGGATGGTTTACGACATCATTATGCGAGCAACACTTCCGGGGGTGAGTTGGGTACTCCTTTTACTGACCTCAGAAGGATGGAAGGCTAGGCCAGCCTTGATCCATCTACCTGAAGCCACCAGGATCGAACCCGGGTTCTACTGTAGTTGAACTACTGCGCCATGGGGCATGCTATAATCTAATTATACTCAGATTCATGACACCTGGAGAATCCAGTCTTGACAGTTCTATTATATTAAGGCCAGTGAGGACAAGGATGATGTGTGTATAGGCACATGTACCTTAACTCCTTTCGTAAACAAATAGCGGAAATGACCCAGAACCAATAGTAGGACTTCTTAATTTGCCATTAAGAAACTATGAAAGTTAAGCATACAACAGTTTTTGTGAAGGTGTTTTTGACAGATACACTAGATCTCTAAAAGAATCATAATTATTTGTTGTGGGTTTATTATTGATATTATAAGTATGTCAATATGGATTGATTATTAATCACACTTAGAGAGGGCTCCAGGCTGGTTAAAGTCGCAGAGATGGCGAACCTATGGCACGCGTGCCACAGCTGGCATACGAAGCCCTTTCTTCTGGCACGTGACAAACCTTTTGAAGTGGCTGCAGCTGGGATTCCCCTTTTCTCTTCCTCTTCTGGGTCCTTTAACTTCCTGTCTGTCCCCATGATTCCCCCTTTAACTTCCTGTCTGTCCCCATGATTCCCCCTGAAACTGCCACTTCCTGTTCCGGTTCTGGTCTTCCAGAGTGGCAAGGCAGCTACTCGTTTCTTCCCCACCCCCTCATTTTGGGCACTCCAGCCGAAAAAGGGGACGAATGACTGACAGCCGAGCACAAATCTGAGACTCAGTGAGGTGTGATCTGCCCACATTCTTTCTTCTTCTATATTAAGAAGCGACAAATAGTTCTGTCTTAAGACTCCTTTTTAAAAATGGCCTTAATTTCCTGCTGAAGGATAGGTGAGTGATCAAGGAACGGGTTGTCTGCTGGAGATACAAGAAGACAGAGCAATAGTTAGGCAGGAAGGGGATGTAGCTCAGTGGTAGAGCGCATGCTTCGCATGTATGAGGTCCTGGGTTCAATCCCCAGCATCTCCACTTTTAAATTTGTATTTTATTACTGAAGGATGCATTGGCTCTACAGGGGATCAGCAACGGAATATAGAAATATGGGTCCTCTTGCCCACTTTTTACTGTTTTTCTTTCCAGCTGGTTTTAGGCATGGTTCCATCATGTTCTCCTCTTGCCCGTCAGCCTTTTCTTTGAGATTTATGTTCATGAAGACAGGATCCCAAGAGGACGGCTTCAAATCCATCAGTCTATATATAACACTTTTGCAAACTGTAATCCTCTGCCGGTTTTACTCAGAAGAGAAATTGGTTGTGGGCTTTACTCCAAAGCAAGGGTGCAAAACCCAATAGCTTTAAGCATTGTGTACTTAGGAATGGTCTTGTGAATGAAAGCTGGGGATGTTAAAACCACATATTCATTATTCATTTATTTTAATAACTATAGTTTTGTCGTGCCCATCGAGTGACCAGGCACAACTCTGGGTGGCTAACCAAATAGAGCCTCTGAAGCATCTCTGAGTCCTAAGAGAATACAGGGCTATTTTCATGGAGTCAGAGTTAGCTCAGCAAGACAATCAATGCTTTGAAAGCAGGAGGTTCTTGGTTCAATTCCCAGTATCTCCACTTTTTGCTCAGCATGCAAATAATAAAACACAAGAGCTATTGATGGGCGTTGACCCAGGGCATTGTATGGACTGATTCTGGCTACACCTATGAACAGCATCAGGAAAACAGCACCCCCGTTGACCGTGTTTTTCTTTAAAACTGCGTGCAGAGAGTGCTCCAGCAAGCCTGCTTTTCTTTTGAAACAAGGAGTGTGCACTTTCCCCACCTTGTTTTAAGCCAAAATTAAAGTTTACAGTATTTTACTCACCGAAGTTTGGTGGTGCTCAGGAGTGGTGTGGGGCGGGGTGGGAATGAAATTGGCCCTCAACTATACCAAAGATCCACCCTGTGCTAGGTAAGAGAATTAAAATACATTGGCCAGGAGCCTGCTGGTGTTTGTGTACACACTGTGGGTGTTTGACAAGGTGCCCGGGCATGCTCTCCATTCTGAACTGAGACCTAAACCTTACACAATGCCAGCCATGGGAAATGGCGTGAATCATAAGCAGAGAGGTTGGTTTGTGGTCAAATCCTGATTATGTTTGTTCCACTGCTTCTTTTAACTCAAGCATGTGGTTCCTTTATGGAGTCAATCGATCTCATGTCTGGCTTTCCTCTTTTCCTGCTATCTTCAGTGTTGTATATGCAACTGATAATAAACAGCAGGAACAGGCTGATGAATTCTGTAGTTTGTAGTCCGGAAAGATAATTTCCCCCCAACTTGTTCCTTTGAGTCTGTTTGCATAATCAAGGAAGATGGCTACCTCTCTTTCTTTTAAAATAATTCTGCACCCACTCACCCCTGTCTCGCTATCCTTCCAGGTACCACTTTGAGGACATGGCTGATTCTTCGGCCACCACAGAGATTCTGAGCCAAGAGCCACTCTCGGTTCATCTCCTGGTCCTTGAAGGCTGCAGCAGCGCTTGGCATCTTACCGCCAGACAGCTGGTAGCAAAGTTCAATGAGGAGGTGGGTATCAGGGTTGCCCGATGACCCACTTGGAACTGGCCCGGAAGGGTCTCTTTATCTTGGATTCTGCTCAGAAGCCTTGGGAAGGACAGGTGGGTTTCCAACCATTGTTCCTTCCTCCTTTCCCCCTCCCCCAACTGGTGCTTTGGTAATTCTCATTGTTAGGACATCTGGCTCTTAAACAGCTAGAGAAAGTCAGTTTTTTGAACTACGAAACATCCCAGATAGGCTAGGTTAATCTGCAAGGTCTAATCTAAAATATATATTTTCCCCCGCCTACTCTATTTTTCAAGGGACGTGGTGGCGCTGTGGGTGCCTACTCTATTTTTAATCCATGAGTTTAACTTCATGTTTTGTCTTGGATTTGGCCTATATTTTTATGAAAGCGTAGAGCTCTGTAATAGACAGGTGCTTTAAAAAAAATCCCAGTTTCAGTTAAAGACATTATCCATGAGTTCAACTTCATATTTTGTCTTGGATTTGGCCTATATTTTTTATGAAAGCATATAGCTCTGTAATCGACAGGTGCTTTAAAAAAATCCCAGTTTCAGTTAAAGACATTTCTATCTCCTTCCAGCTGGAAAGGAATCATGTTAAAAAGCTGGAGAATTCCAACTGGTCGTTGTAGGATAACCAGGGTTTGGAGAAAGTAGGTTTGGATCTCCAGGTAGACACCAAAGGTTTCTGATTTCTAGTTGCAGGTAACAGACAGTGTGTGTCAATGTCTACGAGAAACATAGTGGCAACAAGTTGAATCTACACCCCTACCTCCAGATTCATCTCCTGATTTTGTTTCAGGAAATGAATCTGGAGGTAAGGGTGTGGAATTGCTTTTCTATGCCAGCTCTTTTAGAGAAAAGCTAACAAAAAATGTGTGCATACGGCAGGAGGGTTCAGCTTTCCAGAGCCAGCCTCTCTGTGCAGCATTCGGGAATTAAACACTTCCATGAAGTCAAGGAAGGGTTTAATTTGCCAATCTCCTAAAGCAGCTCTCTTGTTAAGCCACTTCACGTGATTGGCAAAGTCATATTGAAAGGCCAGCTTTGTATCGGTTCCAGAAATCACATGCATTGGAACCTACCCAAACCAGAGCGATCCTATTCACACCAGAAAAGAAGAAGCCCCTGACCGGGTCCATAAAAAGGTGTGCATTGGATCGGTCTGGGAGCAAACTGGTGCACTCTGTAAGACCAGCCCATTCTTGCAGTGGACCAAACATCGGACTAAATGCTTGAATAGTTCGCCTCAAAGAAAGTTTAGGCTAATCAGGAAATGGATTGTTGGATACAAGACCCAGCACGCCAAACCTGAGCCTACAGTTTCAGAATTCTCTTTCACAGTGTCCAGACGGGCAAAGTGTGCCATTTATTGCACCCCGGCTCCTCAGCTAGAATGGCTAAGCAGGCATGATGGGAGTTATAGTACATTGTCTGGAAAGGGATGTGGGCCCTTCTCTCCAGTTGATTTAGCAGCACAACCCTTTCACTGTGTAATAACAAGGCCCTTACATGTTGTTGATCAACTATCACTGTTTCAGGGACAACTTTTTAGAAAATTATATTATTCTATCATTTCACAAGGATCTGATGCAAAACCATCAGCTCGTGATGTGGAAGACTACCAGGGGATGAATCCAGTTGTTACTCCTAGCTTAGAATAAATCCAGTGAACGAACAAGACTTTGATTAATGGCACACACATGACTCCCATTAGTCCTGTGTATCTACTCTAGTTGAATTTAACCCTAGTTCTTCTGGGCATGTGATATATTTTCTTATTCCCTGTCATTAGACCCATTTTTTTTCTTGAGCTCTCAGTTTTCCTGTTGGTAGAAAAGGAGGTTCCCTAAGTGGCTCATAAATTCTCTTCTTTTTCGCAGGCCAAAAACGAGGTGACCGTGTATTTAGCGCTACTGCGGCTTCCGCAGTATGGAACAGACGTGCTTCTCAGCTTCAATGATCCCACGTGGATTAAGTGAGTATGCCCTAAAGCAGAAATCGGGGTGGTTCCAGATAGCAGGATAAACAATGTGGTGTAGTGGACAGAGTGATGGTTTTCCAGTCTTAGTCCATCACACTACCCACCACACCACACTGGGAATCTACTGCAGGTATGAAATTGGTTAAAAAAACACCCCTTAAATATTTCACTGATCTTGAAAGCCTTACTAGGGTTGCTGTTGCTCAGTTCTGACTTGACTGCACAGGAAATATTAAGGCTACAGACCATGACTCTGAAAAAATGATCAATGGCCTGTGGAAGCAGAATCCCATCAAATGCATTAGTCTTAAGATGCCACAAGACTCTTGGTTGCTGCTGCTGCTCATACGGAGGCAGGTCGTTATCTTCTGAGTTCGAAACAGCTTGGGAAAAGAAACTTGTTATAATTATAATTACAGAAAACCCCATCAGTGTGTCTCCTCCAAATAAAATGTTCAGGTTCTGGATCTAAATGCCAGTAGGTGTATGAATAGAAGGGGGAGGTGGTGGCGCTGCAGGTTAAACTGCAGAAGCCTCTGTGCTGCAGGATCAGAAGACCAGCCACTGTAAGATCGAATCCACGCGACGGAGGGAGCTCCCGTTGCTTGTCCCAGCTCCTCCCAACCTAGCCATTCAAAAGCATGTAAAAATGCGAGTTGATAAATAGGGACCACCTCGGTGAGAAGGTCACGGCGTTCTGTGTCTAGTCATGCTGGCCACATGACCACAGAAACTGTCTACGGACAAAACACTGGCTCTACAGCTTAGAAACGGGGATGAGCACCGTGCCCTAGAGTCGGAAACGACTGGACTAAAGGTCAAAGGGAACCTTTACCTTTACCAAGTATGAATAGAGAACATTCCACAATGACACCCTTTCCCCTCCTCTTTTCTCCTAGCCCTCTCAGCAGCAGTGCGGCCCAAGGTGCCGAGATCCCTCTTCTTTCTTCTCAGCCTCCATGGACGGTGGAACATTTCCAGACCTTTGTACGCAGCCTGCGACTCCTTGATCCTGGTATCTTTGGCTAGGGCATCTCCATACGACTGGGGTTCCTGGCCACCCAAACCTCATTCCTTCTGTACTGCAAATGTAGTAAGAGTCTTTGGACAGGACCCACGGAAGACTGGCTGAACATCCGCCGCTTTGGCTCCCCCTGCCAGGCATCTTTTCCCAAAATGGAAAAGGGCAAGAAACACGAGATGCCAAAGGACTTTCTGCCAGGAGAGAGCGGTTTTAAGGCACCCTCCAACTCCAAAGGTGGTTTTAAGCCTCCCCTTGTGGATAATGAGCTGCCTGGCTTCCGTTTTTTGTTTGTTTGGGTTTTTTGTGTTGTTGTTTTTTTAATACAGAAAAACTTGCAACCTGGACTTAATCCTTGCAACTCCCACCTGCTTCCTGCCCCCACCAAGCTTATAAAAGTTACTTTTTTGGACAACAACTCCCAGAATGGCCATGTTGCCTTGGGGTCTGTGGGAGACGTATTATTTTAAAAGTAACTTTTCCAAGCTTGGCTCCCCACAGCATCCCCAGCGGATAAAGAAAATCCATACCATCAGACGTTGCTACATTCAGGTTCCAATACATTATTCTCAACTGTTTCCTTCAAAAGAAATGTTAATTATTTACAAGTAGCTTATTAAATCATTAGTTTAGTATTAATCTACTAAACTAATTACTTAAGTTTAACGAAAAAAATTCAACAATGGGCAAAAGGCTAACTTTAATTAGTATTAAGCGACCAATGCTGATAACACAGGCTGTAAGCTTTGGAGTCACACCAGGCTCTTCACCAGATGTAATGATCAAGGGAGGAGATAAAGCGAAGAAGAGCAAAGCAGACGTTCCTGAGCAAGAACACGTTAAAACATTGTTTTTGTTTTGTTTTGTTGAATGCAAGTCATCCTCCATTGTTCTTTAAAGTTTTGCCACATTAACTAAGCCTCTTCGTTCAGACTGCTTTTGGCTGAACCAGGACGCGCAGCAGAGCCTTGAGTTCAACAGAGGACAAACTGGTAACAGGACATAAAATGAAATAAAACGATATACTTGTAAATGAAGAGCAGGTCCATTTGGAGCAGTAATATGTATGAGTTGAGAATGTGGGTGGCATGGATTTTGGGAGAAACTCTGTTATGGAAAGAACCACCAGGCTCAGAGTGGTCTATTAGATCAGATGGGCGGGATACAAATCAAATCAAATCAAATAAATAGGCAACAAAACTAGCAATTGGAAATCAAATTTTAAAAATAGTGCAGGGCTTCAAAAATGCACTCTTCCACTCGCCTGTGACGAGTGAAAAATGCTGCTCAATGAGTCACAGCTCCCTCTCTGCCTGCCTCCTTCCCCTCCACCTGTCTCTCTCTCTAATCCTGCAGTCCTCCCCTCCCCCCTCCCACTGCAAAAGGAAAACTGCCCTCTTCTCAGAAGAAGAGAGTTTGAGCGGTATATAGAGATATAGCTCTGCAGGTGAAAGTAGAGTAGTACCATGCTGGAGAATATGGAGCTTCCCTGCTCCCAAGTTCAACCAAAGGAGGACAGATGCATCTTGGAGTGGGAGGGAACCGTGGCTCTTTAAGAGGCCAGGCCTTTTTGCTTTCAGTTTTATTTTTGCTGGAGACAAAAGAAAGGCATTCAAAATACAAGTTTCACGACCCCATGGGCACACAGGTAATAAAACAACCCAGGTCTGAGGGTATAAATCAGTGATTCCAAATCCCAATAAATTGCAAGGCTATAGTCCGGTCATGCTGCCTGGTGAAAGTTTTGACTGACAGGTGAGACATTCTGAAAATTTTCAAGCTCTGAAGATGTGGCATCAAAAGAGACCCAGAAATTGCATCTTCAGATAAGGGAATATCTGGATAGAAGAAATAGGAGCAGGAGAAAGGCTCTTTATGCCAGAGGAGGGGAGAGAGATGACTTTTTAAATACGCAATTAAGACACAAAATGTCTAGCTGAAAAAAGGGCAGACAGCTTTGTCTGTCCATATGCTTTGGACTACAACACCCATCTTCCCTCACTATGGGCCATTTTAGCCCAGACAGCAGCAAAGCAGCTAGAAAGTGAAAGACTTCCCCCATCCATGTATTACACTCTGGTGCCACCTAGAGGCCAGCTTGTGACACATGAGGGAAGAGGGCTACTTGGTTACCACGGCAACACCTTGACTGTTAGGCTTTTGAAGCCTGGTAGGCCTCTTCTCTTTAAACCAGGCCCTTCAGGAGCCTTCCGGGTGCCTTATGATCTTTAGGGCACAACTTGTAAAAATTGCCTTCTTTCACATGACAACCCCCACCATTTTTCCAGCCAGCATGGCAGATGTTGTCTTTTTCTTTTTTTTAAATCAAGCTTTCCACCTTTTGATGTTGGACTACAACACCCATAATCCTTCACCCCCACCCTGTTGGTTGTGGTGGGAGGGGAACTGTAGTCCAAGAATATCACCCACTTCTGGTCAAAATCCTCTTGTAAGCCCTAGACCCCCGCAGCCTGTATACAAACAGGCCAACGAGAAGCAACAGTAACCTCTTTTATTGGGCAATCATCCAATTCATAGCAGACCATAATATGCAGAAAATGGGCGGGCACGCTCTCTTCCTTAGCCAATGACATGAGGAAGGTCCCGTCGCGGGTGCTTAGCGCAAAGCAAGGTTCCGGCCACTTGGTGTAGCATCTCTGTTGAGAAATAAGTTAAGAGTGGAAGTTTTCGTATTTGCAAAATAAAAAAATTAAAAAATGGGTTGCTGCAGCTTTTGCAAAGCATTTTCTTCCCAAAGCCCATGAAAGCAAGAAGTCCAAGCAACGAGAGAGATTTTAAAAAGATAAAATCTGCTGCCCCGTGAAAGGTGGTCGCAGGGAGAAAAGCCATTTGCTCTCCTTGTTCAGTGATCACCGG